GAAGACGGGCAGGACCAGTGCGCGCCTCGTCCCAAGACCCTGCGTCAGCCAGTGCCCTGCGGGGTGGAAGGGGCGGCCCCGGCCTCCCGCGGGCCCGCAGCTCGACTCTCCTGGGCGGCCTGGGCCCGCCTCTGTCAGGCCGGCTCTGCCGCTGCCCCGGGCCTGTCCCTTCCGAGCCCTCCCTGGGGCGCCTTCCCCATCGGTGCTCCTGTCTTACCTGTCCGCCACGCGACATCATTTTGGGGGAATCGTACAAACACCCCTTGCCTGCTTGCAGGCGAGGGCCGCGGTGGGAACCCCTCGGACCTGTCGGTGACTCGTGGAAGAGCCCCCGCCAGAGCCCAGTTCTCAGGCCCCGCTCGGCAGCAACTGAAGCCGAGCCCCGCCAGCTCACGAGACGCCCGGCTGCGGGCAGCAGGTCCCCCTGACAGGCCGTGAGCCGGCAGTTCAGGACGGGGCGCTTCCTGGGCGGCACCAGCCTTCTCTCTTCCGGCTCTCAGAGGGCTGGGCGGAGGGGCAGGGGGCGGAGCACAGGCCGCACCTAGGGAAGGACCGCAGTGCGGGGGCCACGCTGGGGCCGCCGCCTTCGCCAGGCCCGCCCGGCGCGCTGGGCTGTGAGGCCGGGGCTGTGGCCAGCTCGACAGCACAGCCGGGGGCGAGGGCGTGTGGCTCACCCCGCAGGCTGCTGTTTTCATTGGAACACATCCGTAGAAACTGGGGTAGTTTCCCCCCAAATCAGTATGTCCGGCTTTTCTTAAAACACCAGGAGACCTTTCGCAGAGGGCCCTTACCCTGGGGGGCTGCCACTCGCAGCCGGCGTGGGCCGAGGCCCTGGGGGCTGGACGGCTCCCTGACGCGCTCCCTCTGCCCCTGGGTCACCTGGCCACGTAAACGGGGCCGGAGAAAGGGCGTTTGGTCTCGGGTGGGTTGGTTGGTTTTTGTGTTTTTTATGTCAGCTTGTTTGTTTTGTGGACGTTTCACCTCTCAACATTTTTACTGAGGCGAGGTTGGTGTAAGCGAAGCAGCCCCGCGTGGCCCCCCACGCTGTCCTGCCGGTCCCCACGGACCCGGCCCGTCTCGGATCTCACACCAGCGGGACCGGAACACGCGCGTTTCTGTGGCTGGCTGCTGCTTTGTAGCATAGTGCTTTCACGGAACAGCTGATGGGGTTTTAATTGCTAAATTCGCAGTGTGACCAGACAGTGTGGTGGACGCTCTGTTCTTTGGAACTTACAGGTTTTCTTCGACCCTTCAGCGGCCCGTTTTTCTGAGTCTTCTGGAGGGACTTGAAAAGGAGGAGTGTTCTCTAGCATTCAGCTCCAAAGCTCAGCCTGTATCATTCGGAAGCGCCTTATTTGTCACGTCGTGTATTCTGTTGTTTGTGCTTTATTGGCTCGGACGTGGGCATGAATCGATGTTTCCTTTGGTTCTTCCTGTGAGCAGCGGTGTCTCTTCAGTGATTTCTGCTTTGTGTGCATCCCGCCGTGTCCAGTGCGGGAGCATTCACACCGCTGCCCCTTCGTTGGGACCTGCATCTTTGCCTTTCGAAGAAGCTCCGCTGTGACTAGTCAGTGCGTGTTGGCTTGGACTTCGTTTTACCTGGTAGTTTCTTCCAGGAGCGTCTGCCCCGCTCTCCGAAACGCCCTCTGGAATTGCTGCATGCGTGGCCTCTCCTGTTCACAGCAGAGCAATCGAGGGTCCTGCTCTGAGGTCCCCCAAAAGCCTTTTCTTCTTACGTCAGTTCTGGCGGGGTCGGTCTGCGTTCTGCCTCGTTACTGACATTGTGCCCGCTGAGCTTGGTTTTCAAGCGAAGGCTCCCCCGCGTGAGCCTCACTGACGCAACTCTAGCGACGGCCCGGAGCCTGCTGCGCCCCACCCGCTCCCCACGGCGGAGCACAGGCCTGCGGGGGCGGGGCGTCCGCCCCCCGGGGCCCAGGCTCCCGTCTGCGTGGCTGAGGACTGTGTCCAGCGTGCAGACTCTGCCTCCTGCTGCCGCCGTTCCTCGTCGCCTCTTGGTGAAGCCCGCGTTCTGGGCCTGCCGTCGGGCAGCTCGCAGGCTCCCTGAGGCCGGAGTCCGTCCATACGCGAGCTCACGTGTAACTTAAAATTTTCTAATAATCACACCAAAAAGGTAGAAAGGAGAGGGGTAGCCAAGGTTAATAATATATTTTATGCAACCCAGTATATCTGACACACCATTTCCACATGCGGTCCCACAACACCGGAGGTCACTGAGGTGCTTGGGGGTCTTTTTCTCGGATGGGGTTTTTGAACGCCGCGTGCTGCGCGCCTCGGTGGACCGGCCGCGCTCCCGGAGCTCGCATGTGTCCACCCGCTGCCTCTTGGGCCTGCCTGTCGAGCAAGGTATGGTGACTGTAGGACCCGTGGCTCCCTTTCCGTCCCTGCGTCTTCTCAGTGCAGCGGGGGTCTCCCCCCGCCACCCAGGGAAGCCGCTGGCCCGCACCCGGCCTCGCGGCCGCGGCCTAACCACCGGTGGGTGGAGTCAGGCCCCACGTGGCCTCTCCCCTGCCCAGCATTTCTGAGGCTCCTCTGCGTGTTGGCACGTGTCCGGGCCTCCATGGTCCGGACGGCCCCGCTGGCGTGTCCGTCCAGCGAAGGGCTTTGGGCGGTTTCCACGCTTTGGCTGCTGGGATGCTGCGAACACGCGTGTGCGGGGCTGTGTGTGGGCGTGTGTTTTCGGGTCTCGGGTGGGCTTGCTGCGGGGTCCCGGCTCCTGCTCCACTGCGGACCCACCAGATTCTCTCACCAGTGGGGCAGGAGGGGTCCAGCCCTCATAGCTTTGCTCTCATGTCCTTGGCCCTTCTCTCCCTCTGGAAATCGTCCCCGCCCTGTGCCCCATGCCCTCCCTGTGCCACCCCTTGGCTTCCCCCTGCGGGCGTGTTCACGGATGCGTTTTCTTCTTCTCTGGGGATTCTGCAGCTCCTTCCGCTGCTCACGCTCATGCCTGGGGTCTACCGCGGCAGCCGCATGGCTTCCTGCTCGGGGCAGCCCGGCCTGGCCTGGCCCAGGGGGAGGTGCCAGCACCGTCCGGAAGCCTCTCGAGAGGGAAGACGGCTGGCTGGGCACGGCATCCGGGGACCCGGACGGCTTTCGTAGGAGCGGCCACACAGACCTCTGGGCTGGGATGACCGTCCCCCACCCTGAGTCCTAGAGACGTGAAGCCAGCCCCATTCCCTGCTTCCTGCCCCCCTCCTCTATGACACTGTCACCCAGGGAGGGGGCCCCTTCAGAATGAGGTGCCTTTAACGTGGGCACTGAAGGGTTCAGGTCTGTGCATTGTGGCTCCGGGGGGTCTCAGCTCGCAGCTGCAGGCGCAGCAGCAGGTCGCGTTCTGGACCCCGCCACCTCATGCCCCGTTGGCCCAGGGTGCTCAGTTGGCCAGGCTCGTGCCAGCCCTGCCTTGGCCGGCCCCCACCCGAACACTGTGGGTCAGCTCAGAGGACTCGCCGCTGGGCTGGGATCTCGGGCTGCCCCGTGCCCGGCTTCTGGCTCTCCTGGTCACAGACGGGGCTGCCTCACGTGCCGAGGCCGGGGCCCGATGTCAGGAGCAGCGCAGGCTGTGACCGCGGGCTCCGACGCCGCCCTGCACCGCACGTGCCCGCGCGGGCCTGACCCCTGGGAGCCGGAGGGTTGCCGGCAGTGTGCTGGCGCTGACCCGGCAGAGGCCTGCCAGGCGGGAGACTCACCGAGGCCATCGCTGTCTGTCTGCAAAGCAGCGTCTCTGTGTGTTCTAGAAGGTCTGGGGCTCGGGCTGTGCGGCTGACGGACGGTGCCATGAGCGCGCCAGCCTCGGACCGCCCAGCTCCTCCGTCTTGCACGTCCGTCGGTGGCGACCTGGCGTCTCAGCCGCTCAGGCCGTAAATGCCCAGTCGCCTCCCTTCCTCTCACATCCTGCATCCACCGCCCCCCGCCCGCCAGGTGCTTCCTGCAGCTGCGCCCCTCCACTTGGCCAGGTCTCAGCCCCACTCATTCCTCTCCCGGTCTCTGTGAGCTCAGAGTCAGGGCCAGAACCCCCGAGCAAGGCCAGCCCAGCACCCCTGGCTGGGCCTTGCCTGCGGGACCCACTCTCCTCAGGGGGTCCGCGCGCTCCTGGGGGGCCGGCCTTGCCCACTAGCCCCCACTTCCCCTTCTTGCTTATCACCAGACGCACAGTAAGCTCTGCGCCTTTCTGTAGCTCTCTGAGTACGGCCTGTCTCCCCTCACTGGAATGTCACGTAACTGGACGTTTGCCTCCTATAGCTTCTGGGCTGGTGCTGTCTGCCCCCGGGGGGGAGTGGGTGGATTGGAGGGGAAAGACAGCGGCCAGCTCCCAGACGTGAGCAGCGGCTCCTGCTGGTCTCGACTCTCGATTTTGAGGCCTTTACTCCTTACCTGAGTCAAAGACTCTAACCGACATCCTGATTCAAATTTGTTGTCTAATTATGAGCATTTTACCAGCCACCCCTCGCTCACTCTGCAGGCGGCTGGCAAAGGAAGGGCTCACACCCCAACCCCTGCCAGGCTGCCGCCCTGCCCTGTGTCCTCGCCGAGGGCCTGGGGCTGCCCCCAGCCTGGCCGCACGGCCTCCTCAGTCCCCGTTGTCTCAGCCGAGGTCGGGCGCTGCCCCACGTCCAGAGCCCTTTGACTTCCCTTCCTCCCGGATGCTGTTCTCCCGGAACGCTTCCTGTTTGTAGCCGAAGGTTGTGTCCTCTCAGAGCCAAGGTGCTTCCAGGACTCCTGTCCCTTCCGTGCGTCGTCCTCCCTCTGCATGGGGGCTGCCGCGTCTTGACGCTCGGTCTGCAGGACGCCGTTTGCCCATCGCTGGGCCGTTTTCTCCCCTTCTCGACAGGTGGCTGGTGGCACATTCACGGTCCGTGGGATCAGCTGTAACGACACGCGTGGGCCCATGGAGTGTGTTTTCACGCACAGCTCAGCAGGGCTCCGTCCGACGGACACCAGTGGACGCGGAGCCACTGACTGGCTCTCTCCTTTGTCCTCAGAGCCCCCCAAGATGAACCCCGTGGTGGAGCCGCTGTCCTGGATGCTGGGCACCTGGCTGTCAGACCCGCCTGGAGCTGGGACCTTCCCAACGCTGCAGCCCTTCCGGTACCTGGAGGAGGTGCACATCTCCCACGTGGGCCAGCCCATGCTCAACTTCTCGTAAGTGCGCCCGGCTCTCGGAGAGCCCCCGCCCCCCAGCGGGACCCACGGCGGGCGGGAGCGGGCGGGCGGGCCGGCCCAGCAAGACCGCAGACGTCTTTCCCCAACACTGGAACGCGTGCTCGTGCTCAGCTCCGCCCCCGCCCCAGGGTCGCTGGCAACGGGGAGCGTGGCTTTCCTGAAGGCGCCCCCGGCGGTGGGGCAGTGCTGCTTGCAGGAGGCCGGGTGCAGGGCGGGGGCCGAGGACATTTGCATTCTCAATGATGGTTTCATCTGCTTTTAGAGAGGGGAAGGGGAGAGGGAGAAAGGGAGAGAAACATCCCTGTGCGGCTGCCTCTCAGGCGCCCCCTGCTGGGGGCCTGGCCCGCAACCCAGGCATCCACCCTGGGAATCGAACCGGCGACCTTTTGGTTTGTGGACCGGCCCTCAAGCCACTGAGCCGCACCCGCCGGGGCTTATTTTTAATTACGGAAGTAACATAGTGTTTCGTTAAAACCATAGAGAAATATATAAAATAAAACAGTAAAACATGCTCTGGCTGGTGTGGCTCAGTGTACTGAGCGCTGGCCTGAGAACCAAAAGTTCGCGGGTTGAATTCTGGTCAGGGCTCTGGGTTGCAGGCCTGGTCTCTAATTGGGGTGTCTGAGAGGCAACCAATTGGTCCGTCTCTCGCACATTAGTGTTCCTCTCCCTCTCCCTGCCTTCCCCTTTCTCTAAATACAGATAAATAAAACCTTTTAAAAAAAAAAGTAAAACTCTATCCTTCCCTAATCACTACTGTACAGTTAATTATATATTAAGAATCTCATTAAATTAATTTGGTACTGTTTGTGTCATGCCTAGCAACTTCAGCAGGATTAAGACCCTGTTCTTAAAAGTATTGTCTTGCTCTGGCCCAGCAGCTCGGCGGGTTGGAGTCCCGGCCCAGTCACCGGAAGGTTGCAGGTTCAGTCCCTGGTCGGGGCGCAGAGGGGACGCAACCGATAGATCGATGTCTTTTCCACATCAATGTTTCCCTCTCTCTCCCCTCCCCAAACCAATAAAGAAATCCTTGGGTGAGGATTTTTTTTTTAATAAAAATATTTAAATATTAAAAAAATAAAAACATCTCATGCTATTTTTTTTTTTTTTTTAATCCCACCCAAGGGTATGTTTATTGATTTCAGAGACAAGAAGTGGGAGAGAGGGAGAGGGAATCATCTATGTGAGAGAGAAACATTGTTTGGTGCCTCCTCCACACGCTCCAATCAGGGATCAAACCTGCAACATTTTGGTTACGGGAAGCCCAGCCAGGGCTTTGTGTTCTTTACTGAAGGGATGAGGGCAAAGTGATGTTCTGCATGTGACGCAAAAGGAGGGAATTCTGGATAACGCACAACCCACAACATAAAGTGGTCTTTTTCAATAACGGGTACAACCCATTGGACAACTTGGTGACCAGCCTTAAACCCTGGACCACAGTTGGAAGCATACACATCGGTAGATGCGGTGGTGCGTTAGGTCACGACCTCGAGCGCATTTCTCGTCAGGGATCGTGGCAGAGAGAGGGCTGTGCTGCGACCACCGGCGCTGGCCTGCGGGAGTGGCCTGGGCCGGGGCAGACTCCGCGGCCGTGCCAAGTGCCGGGGGGCGGGGGGCGCTCCTGTCGGCCTGGGTGCCCCTCCCTCACCGCCGCGAGCTTGCCTCACGGTGCAGGGGCCTCGATAAGGAGCCGAGTCCTGGCTTGGAGCCTGTTCTTTCCCACCTGGGAGTGACTGGGGGTCTGAAGCAAGATGGTAGCTCATGGGAGGGCAGGCCTGGTGTTGGGGTGAGACTTTACCTGCCCGTGCCAAGGCCTGAAGCACGTCGGGGGCTGGGCCGTGGGAGGGGCCCAGGTGGTAGAGGACGGGGGGCCTCAGGGGCAGGAGAGTCCAAGGGGCGCTTCCAGGTGCACGTGGAAGCCCTGACGCGTCTAGTGGCTGCAGCCCATGCACCTGGCTGCCCAGGTGTCCCGTAGCGTCCTGTGTACCCCACGGGCACAAGAGACACGTTTCCTGGTGCTCAGTGGGGCCCTTATGAAGTGAGGGGGCGGCCGCAGAGCCTGCACTGGGAGCCCTGCGTCCCTGCCCTCACCGCCCTCCCCCCGCCCCCCCCCGCCCCACACAGGTTCAACGCCTTCCACCCGGACACACGGAAGCCCATGCACAGGGAGTGTGGCTTCATCCGGCTGGAGCCCGACACCAACAAGGTGGCCTTCGTCAGTGCCCAGAACACAGGTAACCCGCCCCGCCCCCCGCCCCCCCGACTGGCCCGCTGGCCTCTGGTGAGGCAGCCCTCGCCCCCGCACTCTCGGTTACTCCAGTGTCCCCACTCACCGGTCCTGGGGGTGCCTTGCAGGGTGGAGCTGTTGGAACAAGTGCCGTGGGCCCTGCCTGCAGCCTCTGGGGTCCCCAGGAGGTGGGGGCGCTGGAGGAGCGTCCTGTGGGGCGAGGGTGATTCCGGAGGCACGGTCCTGCCGGCCGCTCTGCCTGGAGGTCTGCTCAGCTCCCGGGGGGAGGTTGTCCCAAGGCAGCTTCCCAGGTTTGTCAGTTAGAAGTTGCTCAGAACCCACCTGCTGACGCTCACTGCTCACTGGCCCAGGTGAGTCTCCCTCCCTGGAAGCAGGTGGATGATTAGGACCAGCCCAGTCTGGAGTGGAGCTGCCCGGGGCGGTGGTCAGCCGGGAGTCAGAGGGCAGCCAGAGGGGCGTCCGTTCTGCTGGCCCCTTCTCCCTCCTCTCGGACCCCAGGGGACCTGCTGGACGGGGGCCGGGCCGGGGCTTGGAGTCCGAGCAGCCGTCTGTCGCTCACCCGGCCCGGCTGTGAGAGCCCCAGCTTTTCCCTCCTGAATCCCAGGAGGCTCGTTGCAGGCACGGGGGCCGTGTGGCCCTGGCGGCTGCGGGGGGCAGCCCGGCTGGATCCGGGGCTGCGGGGGAGCCGGGGGGGCCGGGGGCCCCGCGCAGGCTGCGGGGACTGACGGGCGGCCCTCTTGCAGGCATCGTGGAGGTGGAGGAGGGCGAGGTGAACGGGCAGGAGCTGTGTGTCGCGTCCCACTCCATCGCCAGGATCTCCTTCGCCAAGGAGCCGCACGTGGAGCAGGTGAGCCCAGCCGCACGTTGTTGTGCCGTCCCCTTCGGCCCGGGGGCCTGGCTGGTTCCGTGTCATTTTTCTATTGCAAACGTCCTTTTACACGTGTGTCGTCTGCTTTTGTTGACATAGCCACCTCTGTTGGATAAACTTCTCCCAGTTGAATCGCTGGATCTGAGGGCAGGCACGTTTTAAATGCTGACAGGTAGTGAGAAATTCCTTTTCTTAACGAGGGCGCCCCTGGCAGCACCACGGGAGAGCCCGGCTCCCGGCGCCCGTGCGCCGTGCCCTGCGCTCGGACCTCGCGAAGCTGTCGAACCTGACAAATAAGACGAGGCGTCGTGTTGGGGGAGGGGCGGCTCAGGTATATTTTATGGATCATGCCGTTACAGTTGTCCCGGTTTTTTCCCCTTGGCCTTCTCAGCCCGGTACCCGCTTCGTGCATGCCCATGGGTCATGCATGTAAGTTCTTTGGCTTCTCCTTTCCTCTACTGTTCTTAACCTCCCCCTGTCTAGTGTGTGCCTACTGTTTTTGTTGCTTATTCCTTGTACCTTTTCTCCCATTCTTCCCCCTCCCTCTCCCCCTCTGATCTCCATTTCTATGATTCTGTTCCTGTTCTAGTTATTTGCTTAGTTTGTTTTTGTTTTGTTATCAACAGTTGTTGATAGTTGTGAGTTTGTTGTCATTTTCCTCTTCCTAGTTTTGGTCTTTTCCTTAGATAAGTCCCTTTACCGTTTCATAGAATAAGGGCCTGGTGGGGATGAACTCCTTTAGCTTTCCCTTGTCTGGGAAGCATTTGTCTGCCCTTCCATTCATTCTAAGTGACAGCTCTGCTGGACAGAGTGATCCTGGATGGAGGTCCTGGCCTTTCATGACTTTGAATACTTCTCGCCAGCCCCTTCCTGCCTGCGAGGTTTCTTTTCAGAAATCAGCTGATAGTCTTATGGGAACTCCTTTGTAGGTAACTCTGCGTTTCTCCTGCTGTTTTTAAGATTCTCTTACTTTCTTTAATCTTGGGTAATTTAATTATAATGTGTTTTGTTGTGGTCCTCTCTGGGACCAACTTTTTTGGGACTCTCTGTGCTTCCTGGACTTGTATGTCTATTTCCTTCACCAAATTAGGGAAGTTTTCTTCCATTATTTTTTCAAACAAGTTTTCGATTTCTTGCTTTCCCTCTTCTCCTGGCCTCCCTGGGATTCGGATCGTGTGCGTTTGGAGACGTCCCAGAGTCTTATTCTCCCCTTCTTTTTTTGAATTCGTGTTTCTTCATTCTGTTTTGGTTGATTCTTTATTCCTCATGTTACAAAGCGTGGACTTGAACCCTGGCTTACCTCCCTTCACGGTCGGTTCCCTGTCCATTTTTCTTTGTTTTGCTTGGTGTAGCCTTCATCCCTCCCCTCACACGTGTGCTGGGCTCAGTGAGTGCCCTGAGCATCCTGATCCCCGGGGTTTTGAGCTCTGCATCTGACAGGTTGCTTATCTCCGTTTCATGTAGCTCTTCCTCTGGGGTCTTGTTCTGTTCTTTCATTTGGGCCATGTTTCCTCACCTCGATTCGGCGGCCTCTGTGCGGTAGGTGGGACGGCTTTGTCCCTGTCTTTGCGCACCTGTCCCGTTGCGAGGGGCGGAGCTGCAGGGAACCGCCAGTGCAGGGCAACCCACCGCATCGCTTTGTGGCTCCGCATGCAAGGGGGGGGCCGGGGAGGCGGCCGTGCTGCTGCCCGGTTGCTGGGGGCTTGCTCAACACTTGCTCTGCTTCCAGACGCTGCCCCCCTTTCCCGTGTGCGACTGACTGGCGCCCCCCCCCCCCCAGCTACTGCCCAGCAGGGGTTCCCGGCGCGGGTGGGCTTGCGTCCCATCGAGGCCAGTGCCACCCTTTAAGTGGACTCTCCTGAGAGACCGGCAGTCGGGGAGTTTCTTCCGCTGCCCCAGCCCCCACCGGTTTTTACAGCCACAGGTTTTGAGGCTCTGTTTTCCCGGCGCTGGAGCCCTGGGCGGTGCGGTCTGGCCTGGGGCTGGGATTGCTCCCTCCCCAGGTGTCCCTCCCAGTTTTTATGCACCACACGTGAACGTGGGACCACCCATTCTGCGAGTGCCTCGCCCCCGCCACCCCGTATCCGCACCCCATCTCCGCCCCTCCTCCCCATCCGGATGAATGTGGCTTCTTTAAATCCTTGGCTGTTGGATTTCCATACAGTCTGATTTTCTGGCAGTTCTGGGTGTTTTCTGGTCTGAGGTTAGCTGTGATCTTTCTTACGGTTGTGCGAGGAGGCGAAGCATGTCTGTCTACACTTCCATCTTGACCAGAAGTCTTCCTCGTGTTTTAAAGTTAATTCATGAGTGAGAGGAAGCCGTTGGTATTTCTTGTTCTATGTACTTGATGTTCAAAGTCATAGCCTGTTTTCCTATGGGTTTTCGTTTTCTTACTGATTTATGGGAGCTTTTATATATTATGGATGTTAGCCTATTATAGGCTATATATAACATATTATAGGATGTCAGCTGTGCATGTGACCACTGTTTCCCATTTGGTGGCTTATGGGTGCCACCCACAGGGTGTAAGCCCTGCAGTGGCCGCCCCGGGGGTCTTTCCCTTTGGGGTGTGGGTGTGGGTTCCTGCTCGGGAAGGCGCTCTCTCCAGCAGCATAAAATGTCCCTCCGCTCTCTTGTGCTCCTGCAGCTTTTCGCATGCGGGCCTTGCAATCTGTTTCTGGGGGTGCAGTATGCAGTTCTGACCCTCCCCAGATGGGTGGCCAGGGACCCTGCAGGTCTGAAATGTCGTGCCTGTGTCAAGCCACATCGCCAGAAACGGGAGGGGCCCATTTCTTTTGTCTGTCTGGCTCTTCATTAATAATTTAAAACCATCTAATAATTTAAGGTTGTCTTAGCTTTATGTTGTATTTTAATGTCTGGGAAAGGTCTACATCCTTTTCTCTAAATTTTCTTGGTTAATCCTTAAGCATTTCCTCACCTAGATGAGCTGTCGCTTGAGCTTGTCCAGGCGTGTAGGACATGCACCAGGGCTGCGTGAGTGCGTGAGCTCTCGGGGAGAACGGGTCTCCCCGTTGGCGGTGGTGCCGGCGGCACGGGGAACGTGGCATGGCTTCGCTTTGGGCCCCGGGAGGGGTGTTCGGGAGACCCCGGCATTTATTCCTTTGGGAAGGCGAAGCCGTAAGTGCCGTAGAATGTGGTTTCCACCTCATCTTCTGACTGGCTGTTGGGGGTCATGGGGAAACTTGAGGTTCCCGTGTGGGCCCACTCGGCCGCGCCTGCTGGGCCGGGGGTCCTGTCTCCAGTGCGCTCAGAAAAGCTTCTGAGTCTCACCAGACGCCCTTGCTGCCTCCTCGGGGAGGATTCTGCGTTTTCTCCACCCGATGCCACCAGGCAGTGGATTCTGTTAGTGACGCCGAGCGTCGACTCGTGTGCTTTTTGAGGGTCCCTGCTGCTGCTCATAGTGTAGGGAAATGAGTTTTTCCCGTTATTCTTGCCCACTTTGGTAGCAGTTACTCATAGAACCCACAGGCGTCAGGGGCCCCCCGGGAAGGCGCCTGGGCCGTCCTGCACGGGGAGCCGGGGGGCCCGGACCCCGGCCCTGCCCTGCCTCCTTGCCCACGTCGCGGGCCCCGGCCGCCCTTCACTCGCACGTTCCCGTTTCCTGGGAGACTCGTGAGTCCGGGCAAGAAGCGACACGCGCACCTGCTCTTTTCTTGCTCGCACTTGCCGGGGGCTGCCCGTTCTGTCGGAGTTCCGTTTGGGTTATGCTCACTTACATTCGCCAGAGAACTGCATTTTCTTAATTAAACAAAAAGAGTGGGCAGCAGCGAGGTCTGTGGGGGGCAGGAGGGGAGGGCCCGCTCTGCACAGCGGCCCGGGCCTGGCGGGCCTTCCCCCACAGGGGGACCCTCCCGTCTTCTCTCGGGTTAGAGATCCTCGGCGTCCGGGCTTTCTCCGGTTGCTTCTTAGCTGCATCGCTTCAGCTGTCAGGCCGCCTGGTACTTTTCCTTCCGTTCGCTGACTTTCAGAGACGGGGCAGTGACGGGAGGGGAGGCGACCGCGGCCGTTGCGCACTCACGCCCCGTCTGTGCGCATCTCCACCCCGGGCGCGGCCCCGAGGCCTCTCGAGGCCCAGCCTCCCGCAGCGGTGCCCACACATGTGCCTCATGCCCGCTTTCCTTGTTCAGTGTTTCCACATTGAGTTAAAAACACACATTAAACAAATTCACCGTCTTAATCGTTACAAGCGCCCACTTCGTGGTTGTGAACGCGCTTGCGGTGCCGTGCGGCCGTCACCCCCGGCCAGCGCTTGTAACTCAGACTCTGTGCCCGTTGGATCCTGACTCGCCCGCCCCCCGCAGCCGCCGTCTCCCTCCGGTGTCTCCGATTTTGCCAACGCCAAGGACCTCGTGTGAGGGGGATCCTGCGGGACCTGTGTTTTGAAGACTGGCTTGTTTTACTTCCTCAGCGTAACGTCCTCCACGTTCCTCCGTGCTGTGTGGCCTGCGTCAGGATCTCCGTCCTCTCAGAGGCTGGGGCAGGGTCCCTCGCGCGGAGGGACCGCAGGTCCCCCCTCCCGTCTGCCCATGGAGGCCTGGGGGCCTCCGCGCCATCGCTGTTGTGTCTGATGCCGCTGTGACCGTGGGCGAGCGAGTGTCTCTTCAGGCCCTGGCGTCCGCTCTTCGGGTCTGTGTCCAGGAGCAGAGGCGCTGGGTCGCCAGGCAGTTCTCTGATTCATTGTCGAGGCGCCTCCATCCTGACTTCCACCGAGGCCGCCCCATTTTCCCTTCCCACCAACAGCGAGCGGGGTCCCCGCGTCCCCGTTGGCCCCGGGTGTTTTCTGGGGTGCTGGCAGCAGCCGCCCCGACGGGGACACCCCACGGAGGTTTGCGCTTCCCTGGTGGTCGGCGCTGTGGGGCATCTTGTCGCGGGCCGTCCGGGTGTCCTCTGGAGAAATGTCTGTCCCGTCCTTGGCTCACGTTTGAATGGGGCTGTTTGGTTTTTGTTGTTGAGTTGTAAGAGGTCTTGATGTGTTCTGGGTGTTCATTCTATGATTGGCAAATGTTTTATTTCTCTCTATGGGCCACCTTTTCTCTTTGTGGAAACTGCCTTTGGATATACAGATTTTTAAATATTCGTGGAGCCCAGGTTGTCTGTTTTTCTTGTGTTGGCTCTGTGTTTGGTGTTACAGCCAAGGAACTGTCACCAAGTCTGGTCGCACAGAGATTTTGCCCCGTGTTTTCTCCGAAGAGCTCGTACACGCAAGCCTGTGATCTATTTTTAGTTACTGTTTTGTGTGTGCTGTTCGACAGGAGCCCGGCCTCGCTCTTCTGCATGGTTCCCAGCGCCGCTGGTTGAAAAGCCTGCCCTCCCCCAGTAGTGGTCTCAGCCCCCTCCGTGCAAGGCGGACGGGGCCGCCGGGAAGGTCTTGCGAACGAGGACCACCTCCGTTCCACACGCAGCAGGGCCGGCCGGGGTCCTGAGCACAGAGGGAGAGCTGGGGGGCCGGGGGCGCCAGCGTCGAGTGCTCTCGCCTCTTGCTCCCCATTAGCTCCCACACTCCAGGTGTCTCCTGCAGCGACATCGGGCCACCCGTGCTGCCGGCTACGGCCGGGTCCCCCTGGCCACTGCCTTCCATTCTCACCTGACACGGTTCTAAACACCGTGTTCATTGCTCCACCCAGGAACCTTCAGAAATGCCCTTTCTCTCATACATTGAAAGCCACACTTTAAGCAAATGAGCTGCTCGTCACTCGTACCAGTTCTGCACTTGAACGTGCCGGCGAAGCGCGGGGTGTTGCGGGCCTGTGGCTGCTTTCCAGGGGAGGAGGGGGCCCCCTGCGGGGCGTGGGCTCGCAGCAGCGGGGGCGGGCTCTGCCTTGCCGTCGGCCAGGCCGGTGCTGGCTTCCCACCCCGCTCATTGGAACGAGGACTAGCCCGTGGCTCAGGTAGGTCTCTCTGGCAGCCCCAGATGCCCACAGTCACCCTCGGTGGCCCCGCTGGGTTGCTGGCTGTGCCAGAGGCTGCAGGCACAGGAGAAGCCTGCTGAGCCTGAGCCGTGCAGTGTGCATCTGCCCCAGTTTCAAATCTTTAAATCTTTCCACATGACTCCAGTTCGAAGAGAATAGCACGAGAAACGAAGCCCCAAGGACCTGGCAGGTGGCCCTCGGAGAGGCCGTGCGTGGGGCCGTTCCTGGCCTTGGCGCTGAGCGAGCCGCCGTGGCAGCCGACCGGCCCCCGGAGGTGGGGCGGCCGGCCTGGGGCCTGGGGCCTGGGCCCACGGCAGCCCTCCCCGCTCTCCCCGGCACCGCCTCCATCCTGGGGCCTCGGCCGTGGGGACCGCTCCCCAGCCCTCTCCCTCGGGCCTGCTCGCCTGCTCCCCGCTGCCTCCCTGCTTATCTGGAGCAGGGTGGCTGCCCCGGGGGTTCAGAGGGTGTGTCTCAGCGACTGAGCTGAAGGCCGAGGGGCAGGCGCACAGGGGTCCCTGAGTGACGGCTGTGAGTGCGCATGGCGTGTCCGGAAGCCGCCCCGGCAGCACAGGCGTGGCTGTGACACCCCAGCCGACGGAGCGGCCGGGTCTCCCCTCCGCACCCCTTCTCGCCGGGGCCTTAGTCCTGGCAGCCTGGGTGAATCTCTGCCGCCTTGGAGTCACCCCTGATTCGGGCTTTTCCTCTGCCGGGGGCTTGGCCATTTACAAAGCAGCTGGCTGTGGCCCAAAGCAACGCTCCTATTTCCTGTGCTTCTGGAGCCCCCAGAATGTTCTAGAACATTAGAAAGAATGCCAGGCCAAGCGTCTCAGCCTCCTCATGCTCCTCTGGAGGCCTCCTCCCGGGGCACCTGCCGCAGGCGTCCTCGCTGCCGTGGTCCCGCCACGCTACCTTCGGGAGCCCGTGCGCCGCCAGGCCAAGCCGTAGGCTGAAGCGGGAAGGTCCGCTTCTGTCTGACAGTGCGATTTGCAGGCAGAAGGGAGTGGGTGGCCTCAAAATACCCTACGGCGGGGACAACAGCGACTCGCTGTCCATCTCTTGCTCCTCTGGGGGCAGCGGGGGCAGGGAGAGGCACAGGCCAGGGCTCCCGGCACCGGGGCTCGGTAGGCGCCGCAGCCCTGCGGGCGGAGCGTCTGCCACCGGGCTCGCTCCTGAGGTGACAGGTTGCAGCCTCTGCAGGAACACTGGGCCTGTGGTGGGACCTCGGGCCTTTGCTGCATCTTTAGAAGGTAGAACTGAGGTGTTTGTATTTGTTTTGTTCTGCTCAGATTACCCGAAAATTCAGGCTGAATTCTGAAGGCAAACTTGAACAGACGGTCTCCATGGCAACCACTACCCAGCCCATGACTCAGCATCTTCACATCACCTACAAGAAGGTGACCCCGTGACCCAGAGCAGAGCTTCCTCCCAGCCGTGTGTCGCGAGGTGACCCCTGGCTCCTCTGAGACGCCGCCGCAGGTGTGGGTGTGGCCGCAGATCCCATGGGCGCAGGGTGTTGCCCCGTGTTCCTGTATCAGCGTAGAAAAACCAAATAAAAGGCCTTTATTTTTATGGCTGAGCATTTTGATGTCGTCACGTGTGCGGACTGTCCCCTCCTCTGCTGGTGTGTGTTTTCCAGAGTCTTTTCCCTGCAAAACTGAGAAGGCGCGACTCCTCCTCCTCCTCCTTCCTGCATTTTTTACCAGATCTGAAACGCTGATAAGCCTCCAGCTGAACCTCACTGAGGAGCTGAAGGCGGAGGCGGGACAGAAAGGGCTGCCTGACCTTTACGAGCTGAGGGGGCCTGAGGACCCCGTTTCTGAGACAAAGGACACCCCGATGGCTCTGTGACAGGGCGCTGCTTTGGTCTCTTCGCTGGTTGGCTGCGCGGCCTTTAACCCCTGCCCAGCAGTTTCCTCTGTTCCTCCCCCTTCTTCTCACTGGAGTATTTTTAAGCAAATTCCAGACATAATGTCACTTACCCTAAGTGCTTCAGCCTGTGTTTAAAAACAAAGCCTTTTATTTTCTTGGCACATCAGGGGGTCGGAAGCCACCGGAGGGGCACAAGGAGGGGGGCACAAGGAGGTGGTCGTGCTGCAGGGGCGGATGCCTGCAGGGGCAGCTGCACCGGCCCCCTGGTGGGGGGCTCGCGACAAAAGGCATCAGCAGAGGGGCAGCTCCAGGCAGCCCTCAGCCGGGGCCCAGGTGCTGCGGGGGGCGCGGGATTACCGGTGCCGGGCACCCCAAGGAGACCCGGGACAGGAGAGACCTGGGCACAGCTGGTCCTGAGCCGCAGCCCCTCCCGCTGTGAACCTGCGACACCAGACAGGGACGTGCCTCCGGAACGCGGGGCTGAGACAGGCACAGGCTGACGCACCCACTGCAGGGGGACAGCGGGAAGCGGCGGGTCCTGCGCGAGGCCAGAGCCGCAGGCCAGTCTCCGGGGCGCAGGTCGCTCCCGGAGGGGCCACGGGGCCTCACCCCACCTGGGGCCGCGCTCATCGGGCTCCCGGCAGCGGCCTCACCCGTGCGGGGCCTGGGTCTCCGCCGGGCTCACAGGCCTCCAGGCCCCCCAGCGCACGCCTGTGCCACCCGCACGCGCAGCTGTGGCCCCCAGCGGGTGGCTCGGGACCCGGGAGCGGGCGCTTTCGCTCTGGGCAGCCGGGGAGGGCGGCCGTGCTCCGAAAGGTCTCCATCACCCCCGGCCTCGGGACGGCCCCACTTCGCCGAGGCGGCCGACTGGGGCTCATCTCAGCAGGACAACGTTCTCACCCCTTTCCCAGGGGACAGGCTGAGAATTCCCAGACTTAAGATCTGCTTCCTTTCGGATGAGCGATCCCCTGGGTCCCTTCTGTCTCCTTGCTTCGTCCTGTAATTGTTCGAGAGAAATTCAGCTGTTCCTTCAACCTTCCACTTGGCTTAAAAGACTCCTGCCAGATACTCAGCTTCCCTGCCTCTCGGGCTCACGTCCCACGGGCCCGAGGACACAGACGCGGTCCAGCCGAGCGCCCACCACTCCCCGGCACGGTCGCCCTCCCTCCGGCAACCAAGAGCCTGGCCCGCGTTGCAACTGAGACGCCACTGAACAGCCCTCACTGTTCCTAGTTCTATGACCTCGGCTCGGGCGGCTGAGGTCTGTCTGAGATGGGGGATTTGTCTCCACTCCCTCCTCCCGCTCTGGGTCACCAGAGCCGCCCAGAACAGTCCGTTCGTGCGAGGCAGGCCGTCCCTGGAACGGACCTCAGGACCCTTCCAGCCGGATCACCCAGCACCAGTGCTGAAGGCGCTTCCACGCGGCGGACACTTGTGGCAGCCACACCCCCTTTTCAATGACAGCTGCCGTTACAACACAAACGCCGCATATGGCCAGGGCTCACAGACAGCGAACCTCTCTCCTTCCCAAGGCTGGAAGCCCACGCTCACGGCCCAACGGTCTGGCGAGCGCCCCGTCCGTGGAGCCCAGCCTTTGTGTAACCTCGCTGCCGTTGCCGCCGCCAGTGCAGCGGGGCGCTCTCTGGGGTCTGCTGTAAGGGCCCCCACTGGTCCTGAGGGCGGAGCCGCTCGTCCTGACCTCCTCCAAATGCCCCGCCTCCTCATACCGTCCTCTGAGGGGGTAGGAGGTCAAGATCGGAATGCGGGGGAAGAAGCATTCGGAGGGCACCGAGGGCCTGAAGGCTGCCTTGCCGCTGGAGCAGGCTGGAAGCAGCCGGCAGCTGCGGGACATCCGGCCCTGCATCCCTTCCCCAGGAGGCACCCGAGCCCCACGCCTGCACCTGCCCCTCCCTGCCGTCCGCCCGGCCCACCACACCCCTGCACCCCTGCTCCCACACCCACCCCTGCGCTGAGCTGGAAGGGGCACCCGGAGGGCAGCACGCGGAGCAGAGCAACCAACCGGCCAGTCGCCTGGCCGCCTGCCCCCAGCTCCTGCCACAGCCGAGTCAGGAAGCTGAACCCCCCCCCCCCCCGGAGCGCGTCCCCGGGTTCCCCGGGTTCCCTGTCCTGTCGGACACGTCCCCTGACTCCTCTGCGTCCTGTGGTCTGGAAGCTGGGAGGAAAGGTCCGGCGGGACACAGTCCCTGCAGCTGCCTGTCCTCGGTCTGCTCGTCTCGCTTTGCTGACGCCCGCGCCCCCCCCTCCCCCCGCCCCGGGGCCGCCGCTCCTGGGGCTGGAACTCTCAGGACTTCCCCACGCCCAGCAGGCTGCTTGGCTTCCCCCGCTGTTCGCACCAGAAAGCCAGCGGAAAAGCAAGCCTTTCAGTTGTCAATGAAGTATTTGAACCTGGAAAGAGCCCTAATAAGAACGTATTTGAGCCAGGACCCCAAGGTCATGCCAGGGAGGTAGGATCCCACTGGACAGAGGAGGCTGCCGGACGCGCGTCCGCCGTTCTGCTTGTGCACTTAGCATGGAAGGGGGAAACCTGAGAAAAGCCACGTCCGGGAGGGCGAGGCGGGGAGGCCAGCAGGCGGCGGCCCTGCGGGGTGGGCGTCGGCCTGCGCTGAGGGCCTGCTCTGAGGGTCTGGAAGGGAGAAGTACGTTCCACACGTGCCACCTGGGCCCGCTCGGGTGAAGACAAACCCTTCGCTGCGGAAGCCGAGTGCCCGGAATGCGGACCTGCCCAGGTAGGGATCCTCCTGGGGGGCTCGTCGGGCCGCTGCGGCCCCGCCTCACTCTCCCCTGCGACCGCCCACTGCATAGAGTGCTGTCCGCCCCAGGTGCTGGCCTTTCGCCCCCACGCCACCCCTCGGCACCCCTGCTCCTCAGGACCCGGGACATCAGCACGTTTGACGGGATCCTGGTCCCGCGCAGCCTGGTCCTCGCAGACGGCAGGCGCTCCCGTGGGCCCATGGTTGGCCTGATGGAGCGCCCCCGGCCCCCGCCCCGCCCCCAGCCGCTCTGGGGGCTTAGGTGAGAGGTCACGGCCCTGCCCCTGGGGCAGGCACAGTCTTGAAGGGAAAAGAGGTGTGTGCCCGCAGTTTCCACTCAAAGTTTAAGATTATAAATATTTTTACTTCGAGTTTTTCATTTTACATCTTTTAAGATGAAAACCTTGGATCTTTAGAGCATGAAGGTTATTTGCTTTATTCCACAGGACCTGATTATTTCACGTTAATAATAATAGGCTTTTTAACAGTAACATTATTGATGAAATTTTGATTTTTTTAATTACTGTTTGTACAACTTTTTCATCGAAGATGGGGTTAAAATACACTTGGAATAACCAGTTCCTGGATGTAGAGGCTCCTTTATTTCAACTTCCACAAATGGAATGTTCTCTTGGGTTGGCTTTGCTGCTGTCAAACATCCGGCAGAACTGTAAGCGAAGGCAGACGTTGCCCCAGCTGCGCCCAGCGCCGCGCAGGGCGCCCGCGGTCGCCAGCAGGTCCCCTCCTGCTGGGTGTGCGTGCCGCGTCCCCTCCTGTGCTAACAGGACGTCACAGTGAAGAGGCCGCTTTTGCACGCCTGCCTGTGTGGCTTCGGGACAGGTGTTCAGGAGCGGGACTGCCCGGCACAGGGTGAGAGCCAGTCAACACGTCCGTGGGGTATGGGGGTCGCCGGCTCCTCCCCCAACACAGTCTGATGTCAGACCTGGATCTGGGCCTATCTGATCGGTGAGACCTGGGGTCTTGGGTTAATTTGGTTTCTACTTGTCTTTTTTCTTGATTTTTGGAGCTGCTGAGCTCTTTTGAATTAGAGATATCAATCCTAATATTCCCAAATTATAATTTTTATTGAGATAAAATGCAGTTATAACAAAGTTTGTCGTTTCAACCATTTTGAAGTATCCAAAATACATACACTTCAACGTCACGTTTAGTATAGTCAGAGTGTTGTGCAACCATTACCTGCCAACGTGTTCTGTGACACCAAAGGAAACCCCATCCCCTCGCGCAGGCTGGTGTGGCTCGGTTGGTTGGAGCATCGTCCCTTGAATGAAAGGGTCGCAGGTTCGACTCCCGGTCAGGGCAGAGCCCTAGGTTGCGGGCCCAGTCCCGCTGGGCAGCCGCCCGATGGATGTTTCCCACATTGATGTTTCCCTCCCTCGACCCGCTCTCTAAGCCCATCCTTGAGTGAGGATAAAAATAATAAAAAATAAAGAAAACCCCATACTCACCCATGAGATAGCAAATGTTACACTTTTTCCAGTGTATGTTTTGCTTTTTATTGTTCCTGAATTTTAAATCTTACGTGGGAAGGTTTTGTTCACTCCTTAGTTCCAAAGACATTCACTCATTGTTCTGTTTGTTTTTACACTTAGCTCTTGGTGCACTTGGGATTTGTCTCGCGGGCAGGACGTGCGGGCCGGTTTAGTTCTCCCAGGGCGTCCGTGTGTGGTGGGAGGCCGGTCTCGTCCCTGCTGCCGCGGTCCTCGGGCGCGCGGCCGGCCGTGGGGCCTGGGCCAGGACATCCCGCGCCCCCGCCTGCCCGCACCGGCCCGGAGCCCGCCCGGCAGCCATCGGCCCGCAGGCAGCCGTCCCTCCAGCCTCCTCGCTCCTCTGCTCTGTAAGGGTTTTTCTGGGTTTTTCTGAGGGCTGCACTACGGGTGTGAACCTCCAGGGGGCCGCCTCCCCTCCAGGCTGGTGCCGCCCTGCCACGCCCGGACTTCGACACTCACTGCTGCTGGAAACGGGGCACCTCCCCGAGGCGCCTGCTGCTGCACGTACACACCTGCACCCTGATGCTCCTCCGAGGGCTCCCGGGTCTGAAACGTTCCGTTTTATGCTGGAAATACCACAGCGTTTGATCCGAGAAGCATGGGCTGGCACGGCCCGCGCAGCGTCGGCCCGATGGCGCCCCAGCCCCGCCCCTTCCTCCCGTCTGCTCCCTTCTCTCACCCGCCACCCCGCGCACCGGGAGGCCCCTGGCAGAGTGACAGGTGGAGGCTGAGGGGACCCCCTGGGGACCGGAGGGGGTGAAGGGGGCAGCTGGAAAGGGGTCCCGCCAGGACCTTTGCTTCACCCAGAAGCTGCAATGGGAGGCAAGGCTAGACCTCAGTGCATTGTCTGGCCCAACCCTGCCTCATACGGAGAGGGAAACTGAGGCACATCGCAACCCTCCGTGCTGTGTGCCCGTGGCCGGAGCCGGGCTCGGGGCCGCAGCGAGGGAATGGGCCGTGGTGGCCAAGCGAAGGGACGGGAGTGGCCGGGACGGCGGGCAGCCTGCCCCCGCTCCCCTGTGCGTGCGCACGCGAGCTCCCGCTGCAGCCCCAGGAGCCGAGGGCAGACGGTGGGCAAAGCGTCCACCCCCGGTCCGGCCCTGGTGGCGGCACAAGGAACACAGGCGGGACGCTCTCCACGGCCGTGACACTTTATTGGACTCGAACACACACTCTGTCCTTGTTGGTCAGCGCCGGTGCCCTCCCGGGTCCGTATGGCATCCAGGACCCAGCCACAGGCAGGGACGCTGTCCCAGCGACAGCCTGCAAGCCAGTGCGGGACCCGCAAGGCCACGCGGCTCCTGCGGCCGTGGCCAGGCCCAGCCACCTCCTGGCTCACGTCCCGACGTGGTCCCCTTCGTGGACAGGGCCCTGGCACCCAGTGGGAGCTGGGTGCTCCCAGCTGCCTTCCTTTGGGGCTGAAAGGGGACCCTGGCCGTGTGAGGTGCACAGGGCAGGGCCACCAGCGGCACCGCAGACCCGCTCGTTGGGAGGAGGGCGGGGCTTCAGCCGAGGGCCTCCGGGTCCAGGGCCTGGGTTCACCTCTCCGACAACAGCACTAAGAAGGCAGCCTTCAGGAAGCGGCCGAAGCCACAGATTGCAGCCACGAGCCAGTGGGAGCGGAAGCCAGGGTCGCTGCTGACCACGCACTTGAGGATGTCGGTCTGGAGAGGGGGGACAGTTAGCAGAGCCGGGCAGCAGAGGCTCCTGCCTTCCACCTGCGTCGGCTGAGTCAACAGGACACACGTGGCCACTCGGGGAAGGTCTGGGGTCTGGTGGGGACCGAGGCCCCAGCGGGGACCAACCCACCCCTGCCCCCGTGAGGGTTCAGAGGGTGAGAAGGGAGGTGGAAGCGGAGGCAGCCGGGCCCGCGCCGGGATGCCGCCACGCACAGCCCCAGCCCTGCCCAGCCCCAGCGGGGTCCGCAGGGAGGGGCCGGAGCCACAGCCCCCGGCTTCAGCCCCAGCAGAGGGCTGAGCTCAGCCTTGCCACCAGCCCCCTGTGGTGGAGACGCCCCATGCCCTGCGGCCAGCCACCCCCAGGGTCTGGCTGGGCCAGGTAGGCGGCAAGGAGGGCACGGCAGTACCGGCTCCGCGCGGCAGGTCTTTGGCGCTGGGGTTGGGTGGCTAGGTCGACACGGAGGCGACGCACAGCAGCTGCCCCCACCCCCCAGCACCGCCCCCCCAGGCCCCTGCACCCCAGGCCCCACTCACCCATCCTCCCTGCCTGCGCAGCCAGGCCGCCAGCGTCTTGCGCACGAACTCCCCGAGGCAGTCGACCAGGGCGTGCACCATGGCAGGCTGGGCCTGCCGCACACAGTCCACGGCCAGCCCCGCGGCCACCAAGTACAGGGACACCACCTTGCCCCACGTGATGCCTGCAGGAGAGGACACCGGTCAGCAGCCACCACCAAAACCCAGCCGGCCCGCCCAGGGGTCCGGTCGGGAGGCGGAGCCAGCCCCTGCCCTTCTGCTGACGCTGGCGGCAAAGCACAGCCCCACCCCCACTGCCCCAACGGGGTGCCCGCGGGCACCCGCTGCAGGTCAGCCCCGCCCACCCCGAGGGCGGCTCGCGGGTGGAGATTTCCGGGGCCTCCCTTGCACACCTGCACACCTGCCCAGCCCCCACCCCCAGAGGAGGCAGCTGGCGAGGAGGAGACCAAGGGCATGGGGTGCGGACGGACATGCGGCCAGACACAGCGGGCAGGAGGCAGCGTCGAGGCCCCCTGCCCGGCTGCCTGTCCCCTGAGCGGCCCTGGGCGCAGCAGCACGTTCCAAGGGAGGAAGGGCCTTCCTGGACCCCCAGCTGCGGGGGCAGAGCTGAGAGGAGCCCCCCAGACACATGACTTCCCTTAATACATAAAAAGGCTTCCTAAACCAATGAGAAAAAAGTGAAACCCTTCAAAAGAAATGAGCACAGAACACGAAAGGCTGATTCACAAAGGGAAAAAATAGAAACGATATATTAGACAAGAAAACATGCCCTAAAAACCCACAGGGTGCACCAAAACGGGCCACCGGTGACAACCTCGCATGGCACCGTGAGCCCGAGGGAGCTGCCGCCGCCTCACAGGCCGGACGGCTGCTGCACCCAAGGACAGGCCGCAGAGCAGCCCCTTCGCGGCCCCTCGCGGTGGGCGGAGCGGAAGCCGGGGCGAGCGGGTCCGTCCCGACCCTGGACGGCGACGCGGCCCTGAGGGGCGACCGCAGACGCTCTCTGAGGCCCAGACATCCGCTCAGCAAGAGCAGCGACGCAACAGCCACGGGCCAGCGGGGCCGGCGCCACGGCATCCAGGCAGGAGGTCCCTGGTCACCAGCGTGGGGGAGGGGCGGCCAAGAGCAGGGGGTTCTCCCGGGAAGGCAGATGACTTGGCCGCCACGGGCGCCCCGTGTGAACCCACCACGCACCATGGAATTGGACACTTTAAAAAGGTTAATTGTATGTTACATGGGTTTCACCTCAATAGAAACTTTAAATCCCCATAAATCCAAACACGTCACTCCCTGCTTGAACCTCCCCCTTCCTTCCGCCTGTCACATAGGCCGCTGCGCCACCGCTGCTCTGACCCGGCCGGGGGCTCGGGGCCGGGGCCTCACGCTCTGGGGGTGCCTCTCCCTAAGGGCTGACGACCACGGATGTTCTCCTGGGCTCACTGGCGGTTTGTGTCTTCCCTGGGAAAATGTCTGTTCTGGTTGCTCATCTTTAAACTGGGTTGTCTTTTTAGCATCTCTGAGCGTTTTATTTTGTGTACTTTCTGATCTTTCTGTGGTAACATAATTTGTTCTTGTGATAAGGGAAAAAAATGAAAACTCTTGCCCACTTTTCCTCAGGGAGGGAAGAGTCCGTCTCTCCACTGAAGTGAACTGAGGGGGCCTGGGATGCAGACGCGGCCTCGGCGGTGGCTCGGCCGCTGCAGGGCCTTGTCCTGCGGCCCTGGGCTCCCACAGGGGCCAGGCCTGCACTGGGCGCAGACACGAGGGCCCAGCCCCAGGGTGAGCGTGTGCGGGGCTCAACGGCAGCATGGGAGGGGCCGCAGGCAGAGAGGGCCCGGGGGCGGCCCCGGGGCCAGGCTCACCCTGTAGTGGAAGGTCCTAGGACCCCAAGGGCCAGGGTGGACAAGGGGCGGCAGGCGGCCCACAGACTGGTCCCCGTACCGGGCAGGCGGGGGTGGGCCCTCTGTGCCGGCCCTCGTCCTCGGCGCCCTGCACACTCCCACTGCCCGGCCCCACCTCCCTGCGCGGGGCCTTCTCGCAGATGAACTTCCTTTTAAAGCCTCAGGCTCATAAACCAGACGCCTGACGGCCCAGAGACAGGCTCGGGCGGCCACCCACGCGCCGGCGTCAGGCTTGGGGACGAGGGCATCCAGGGAGGGCTAGGGCAGGCATCAGCCTGGGACACCACCCCCCGCCTCCCCCACAGGGTGCCCAGCGGGTCACAGCACCTCCACCCCCGGCCTCCCCAGGACCTGGGTCAGCACTGGGAGAGGTTCCGGAGGGACCGCCCCCGCCCCCGCCCCCAGGCAACGCCTCCGCCATGGTGACTTCTGCCCAGGGCGGACGCTGGGACCCTCCAGGGGGCGGCCTCGGAGGAGGCTGGACTCCACCGCCGGCAGCCCCGCGTCCCGGCCAGTCAGCCCCCGCCCTGTCCCGCTACCGCGCAGGCCCCACTCTGCCCCCCCACCTGGCCCTGGGAAGCCCCGGCCCCACAGGCCACAGGCAGGACACCCTCTCCCACTCCAGCCAGCAGCCCGCGTGGCTGCCCGACAAGAGCCGCCTGCGGCCCCGTGCCCGCTGCAGGGCAGGGCCCCGTCCGAGGCCCAGGCTGCGTGGCGCCACGGGCCTCCTGCGGTAGACGCGCGACCTACCTGCAACGAAGATCTGGGCCGCCACGGCCAGGAAGGCGTCGGTCAGCACACTCTCGGAGTGCAGGGACAGGCTCAGCTGGCGCGCCACGTCTCGGTAGATGCTGGGCCGGATCAGCTCCAGCTCGTCCCCTGCGGCCACACAGGGGTCAGAGGGGCCCACGCCGCCCGGCCTCCATCCCGTGGTCCCAGGGCCCCCCTGCCCCACAGGCCCCCCCTCCCCGCTGCCTGGGAGACCCTCCCACACCCGCTGGCCTACAACCTGGCCCACCCAGCCCCCCATGGGCCCTGAGGACAAGGAGACCAGAGGGGTGCGGTGGGCACCCGCAGGCCTGCCTCAGCGGCCCACCCCTTCTAAGGAAGAACCCCCACCCTGCCCCCCAACCCAGGGGCAAGCCGGCTGGGCCGGTGGGGCGGGAATCCCGGGAGCGGCCTGGGCCGCGCCAGATGGGTGACTCACAGCCCAGAGCGAGCTGCCCGGGCGGCAGCGGATGGGGAAGGCGGCCAGACCCAACACAGGCAGGACGGCAACCCTCACGGCTGGGCAGCCCTGGCCGCAGCCTCGCTCCGGCCCCAGCACCACTCGGGGACCGAGTGACGGAGCCATCGCCCGGGGCCCCAGCACCAAGTGTGCCCCACGCCCAGGGGTGTGTGCACAGGGCAGCCACAGCAGAGGGGACAGGCCCTGTCACGGGCCCTGCCCACAGCCCATGCTCCCCGCGGTGCCCTGGCAGGGGCAGCCAGGGGTTCCACAGCCCTCGGACCGGGTGTCCCCAGCCCAGCCCAGCCCAGCCACCCCTCCAGCCAAAGCAAACAGGGAAATGCCGACCGGACAGTCCCGGTCAATGAGGGCACCTGTGGCCCCCGGGGGCCGGCCGCACACCATCCAGTTAAGGTCAGAACAAGCGGAGCTGGGGCACAGCGCAAGGCGGCGGGGTGCCTGGGAACTCCCAGGGCTGGGCTGGCTGCGCCCACACAGACCTCGGGGGCTGCTGGGGCCTGGCCCCAAGAGGCTGGCCGGCATGTGACCCGCTTCTTCCTGTGTGCTGGCCCCATAGCCAGGCATCCGCTGAGGGGGGCCCAGGCTGGGGCCAGGGCAGGATGCGGGGGGCCAGACCTACACACCCACTTCAGGGCCCCAAGCCGCCTCCCTCCGGGGACCCCTCATCCATCTGGCAGAGGCTGTGTCCCAGGGACTGGACGTGGCCAGGCTGGACACTGGGCAAGGGCCTCAAAGGCCCAGTTCTCAGAGGGCCAGTGCAGCTGCCCAGGCCCAGGCCCAGGCCCAGGCCCAGGCCCAGGAGCAGTGGGGCTCTGAGGTGAAACGGGACCAAGGGGACAGAAGCAGGCCCATCAGGGACACCGGCCCAGGGGGAGGCAGCCCTGCCGCTGGTCACAGACAAGATGGAGGCAGGGGCGGGTCGTGGAGCAGGCCAGGACAGGCGGGGCCCCTTCCCGGCCTCTCAGGGGCCCTCCAGGGGCCCCCAGGGGCACCCCACAGCCCCACTGGAAGGAGCAGCAGCAGCCAGTTGGCCCCACGGGCATCCAGGCGCTCTGGCCACTGGCTGACCCCCACACTCCACTGTTCGCACCTAGAAACCCTTCCTCCGCCCCAGGGCCCCAGAGGGACACCCCCTCCTGCAGCCCTAAGAATCTGTGTCTGTCACACACACTCCTGGGAGGCCAGGTACACACCCCCAGGGCCCACACAAAACAGGAGAGGCAGCCTCGGTGCCGGCCTCTCCCCACACACAAGGGGCTGGTAAAGGCTGGAGGGCAGGACCTCAGTCCCAGTGGGGAGCCCGGCTGGCGGAGGGGTCCAGACCCGGAGAAGGTGGGGACATTTACGGGCTACATGTGACCCCAGAAACAAGTCTGCACCAGCCCCACAGTGGTGTCCACTGCCCCGCACACCCAGTTCTGCTGGGGGCCCTGGGAGGCCCCAACTCAAGAGGAAAGGGCAGCGGAGGACACGATTTCAGCCGGTAACTGGAAGGACCTATTTTCCAAAACAAACATCAGGACACGTGGTCCGACAAAGGATTTTGTGCCCAGCTGAGTACAAGGGTCACTCTGGAAGTTTAGCCACCAAAACATTATTCTCCCCACAGGTTTCCATCCATTGTGGCCAGAATGTTTGAAATCCAGGCTGAGCTGGTCAGGCCCGCAGGTCTGTGTCCCACAGACAGCCCTGACGCCAAACCCAGGACTCTGGGGCGGGTGAGCAGGTCCAGCTGGTGGCCTGCCTTGCATGCCAGGCGCGCCCCCAGGTCAGGCACCTCTCTGCCCCAGAGCGAGACTGAGACTCCCAATGTGGGGGTGTTGGCCAGGTCACCCTTGGACAGGCGGGAGCTGAGACAGCCAGACAGCCATACCCCGAGGCACAGCAGGGCCCGCCCAGCCACCCAGGTCGGGAGGGGCAGTTTGGGGACCCCGCCCTCTTATGCCCACACTCACCCAAGCGCAGCAGCACCGTGCACACCTCTGCCAGGCGGCCGCCTGGGGCGGGCGCGGCGCGCTCAGGCGCGCTCCACACGAGGCCGGCGCGCAGCAGCCGCGCGTGCACGAACTCCCGGCCGAGCGCCTTAGCCTGGGCCACCAGCTCCTTGTCGGTGGGCGAGCGGTCAAAGGCGTCCATGATCTCCGCGGCGAGAACCGAGGAGCGCCGCAGCACCTCCATTGCGGGGACGCGGGCGAGAGGCGCCGCACCTGAGGGCAGACAGCGCTCAGCCCGGTCCGCCCCGCCGCCCCGCCTGGCTGGTGGAGGAGGAGGCCGGCCGCGCAAGGAGGGCCGAAAAGGGGCGCGGCGTGCTCCCAGATCGCGTCCGCGCGCAGAGCTGGGGCGCACGGAGAGGCCGGGCCGGGCGCGGCTTCGGGGAGAAGGGCCGCGGCCAGCTGCGAATAACCTTATGTTTGTGTGACCGAAGTCTATAAAAACACGGAGTTACATTATTTTAGAATGTGGATTAAATAACAAAGATTCCCTCGCGGCTGCCAGGGAAGGACAGCAGGGAAATAACGATTTGCCCCGGAGCCGCGGTGCCCGCGCTCGAAGACCTGCTCCGAGCCAGCTGGACCTCGGCCCTGCCCCGCACTCCCGCGCCACGACCTCCGCGCCGCGCCGTCCTCGGTGTTGGTCCCCCGCCAAGCCGTTCCCATGGCGCGGCTGCCAGGGGAGGGACGCCGCGCGCCCTGCTCACCTCTCCCGCCGCATGTCGCGGGCGCCGCAGCCGGGGAGGAGTTCTGGCTTCAGAAGCTGCTCGCCGCCGTCTCCGCCGATCTCGATCCTTCCATTCCAACCCGCGAGGGCGCGCGCCCTGTGTGCGCTTGAGCCCGGCTGCGGCGCGAAGCGCGCGGGGCCTCGCGCACTCCTGGGGTTCCCGCGGCGGCGTTGGGAGTTGAGGAGAGCAGCGGGGCGAGGGGTGACTCTCCGCTGGGGAGAGGCGAGGCTTGGGGCTTCGCCTTCTAAGGAAAAGGCAATCCCGGGGCGGAGCCGCGCCCGAGCTTCCCGCCGCCTCCCCGCCTCCCGGCTTAAGGAGGTCCGAGCGAGTTCCCGGCGCGCAGTCCGCGAGGCCCGGGCAGGCGCCGTGCCGCCTGTCCCCGCGAGCAGGGCCCGGCTGGAGCCGCAGCCGCCCGGTTGCCCACTGGCTCCGTTTTCTTATTGATTCGCAGAGGTTCGTTATCTCTCCCGGATATGTGTTCCGAGTCCGACGCACTGTTTGTGTTAGAGATGCATTTGCTCGGTGGTGAGGAGATCGCCAACACTTTGTGCCGCTCTGGGATCGCTGTAGCTGATGACCAACAGGAGTTCTTCTCAATGAAGTCCAGTATACCCGTCTTTTCTCTTATGGTTAGTGCTTTTTCATAATGATATCCTAGGTTTTCTTTCAGAAGGATAACGGGTTTGGCATTCGCAGAGGGACGGGCACAGGTGAGCTCCTGCCTGCGGTGTGGTGGCGGTCAGAGCTCACGTGTCTTCCGTGTTGATATCCAGCACCATTTATTGAAGAGACCGTCATTTTCCCACTGAATTGGAAAAGAGTCCCCATCATAAATCAAGTGACGTACATGTGAGGACCTGTTCCGGAATCTTCTGTCCACTGTCCATGTCTCTATCCCTGAACCAACACAGCACAGTTCGAACAACAGGACTGACCAGCTCGCCCACCTCACACCTATACAGCCAATAGAATACATATCTGTCCCTGTGCACATAGGCTGTTAACCAAAACAAACCAGATCTTGGGCCATGATGTTGCGACAAATTTCTAAGGATTGAAATCATACAAGTGTGTTCTGTCTGAATTGATTCAAAACCCAGTAACAGTAAAACTACTAGAAAGACTCCAATTAATCATCACATTCGTAAATAATCAATGGGTCAAATAGTAAATCACAAGGGAAACTGTAAAATATGTTGACGTGAACAACTGTGAAAATATGGCATCAAATGCTGTGGGATGCAGGTAAAGCAACGCTCAGAGGGAAATGTGTAGCTTTAGAAGAAAGGTTAAAATTAATGCTCTAAAAACATTAATGCTCTAGGCCCCAACTCAAGAGCCTAGAAAAAGAATAACAAATTCAACCCAAAAGTCAAAATAAAAAGAGAGAGAGAACAGAACTTAATAAAACAAAGTACAAAGTAGAAAAAATCAACAAAGCAATATTGGTTTTTGAAGAGATTAATAGAATTGATAAAGTCCCCCCCACACACACACACACACAGACTAATTCTAATAACAGGAATGAAAATAAGGACATCACAAGTCCTACGATACAAATATTAAAAAGATAATGATAGTACGGACAACTTTGACAGTAAATTTGGAACTTTGTTTTTACCATTGAACATGTTTAATGAAAGTGCTCATCAAATTAACTCTGATCTTCAAATTTTTAGGGGAAAAAATTGACTTTTTTTCCTGTAGCAATAGGTATAACTGTAAAAATTTGGGAAAGTTTATTCCATAAGTCTGGCCTGTTGATGGGTATTGGGGAAATCCACGCTTGCTTGCGGATAAGACGGAGCGAGGTTTGAGTCCCAGTGCGCAACTCGCCAGCCCTTTGACGCCTGGCGGGGTGGGGGGACCCGTGTGCCGCCTGCGCTCTGGCTGCCTCCTCTGCGGGAGGAGAGAGCGCCTGCAGGAGACTGGCAAGGGTTCCCGGGGACCGGCACGCGGAGCACCCGGCTCCTGGCTTGGCTGGTGTCCTCAGCAGACGGCAGCCTGGACGTGTCCGCATCTCCTCCTTCCTCGGGCGGGAGTAGACCCTCTCATTGAGGGTTAACGCACACAGGTGCGCACATATAACATTCATTCTTTTTTAATACTCTTCACGCAAATATCCAGCTGCTTCTTTTTGCAGAGAAACCTTTCTAAAATTTGCTCCATCATCTTCCATAAAACAATAACTTTGGGTCCTGAAGGCAGATGAAAATTTTACAGGAAGTGACCTCAAACTGTGTGTACCGTCCTTCTGAAAAGCAGCAGCCTGCAGCTCGGCATCCCGGTCACGGTTTAGCTCCAATCATCTCTCGCGACCCCGGATGGCCGGCAGGTGCCCGCAGCTCCCTCGGGTCAGCCGCTGTCTTCTCCGGGCAGGGCTCTGGGCCAGCCTCGGGCAGACTCGCCGCCTTCCAGACCTCCCAGCGGACTTCCTCTCTCACGGCAGAGCTCGTGGCACGTTCGTGCACGCTGGCGGGCACGCGCTCTCTCCCGCCCCTCAATTTGAAACTTAAATGCAATGCAATTTACCCCGGCTGGTGTATCTCAGTGGACTGAGTGCTGGCCTGGAAACTGAAAGGCCACAGGTTCAATTCCCAGTCAAGGCACACGCCTGGGTTGCGGGCCAGGTCCCCAGAAGGGGGCACGTGTGAGGCAACCAATCCATGTATCTCTCGCACATTGATGTTTCTCTCCCTCTCTTCCTCTCTCCCTTCCCCTCTCTATAAAAAGAAATAAATAAAATCTTTGTTAAAAAAATGAAATGCAATTTATCAAAACTGACACTAGAAGAAATAGAAAATCTGGATAGTCCTATCCTAAGTAAATCAATTTAATCCATAATTTAAATTTTTCCTACAAAGAAAATTCTAGGTTCAGATGGTTTCACTGAGGAATTCTTCTAAACAGTTGAAGAAATATCACCAAGTGTATACCAACCTGTCCGAAGAATCAAAAATGAGAGAGCCTTTCCCAACCCATTTTGTGAGACCAATATAACTTCGATCCCCAAACCCACCAAGAACATTACAAGATGCGAGGGAAGCCACTGACCCTCTGTTGCCTCGGCACACCCACCAGAGAACAGGGAATAACCACGTCTACCTCCTGTGGCTGTTGAGAGCACTGCATTAGTTAATCTGCGTGAAAGAGTTGCTCGTTGTGTAGCAAGCACTCAGTAATTTTTAGCTGTTTTTGCAGGAGAGCTGCAGAACTCTGAAACGTGAGTGCGCATTCTCATTCTCTTTACTGCAGAGCCTGGCAGCCCGGGACAGCGTCTGCCTCTGGCCTTTCTGACGAGCACTCAGGCAGGCCCTGGCTGGGTGGTTCAGCGGTTAGAGTGTCGTCCCAATGCACCAATGTTGAGGGTTCAATCCCTAGTCAGGGCACATACAAGAATCAGCCAATAAATGCATAAATGAGTAGAACAGCAAATCAATGTTCTTCTCTCTAAAATGAATCAATCCATCAATAAAGAGAGCACTCGGGCTTGGGGTGCTGGTGTTTATAGGTGGAAATGTGGATGCTCCAAGTGGGAAGGGGACCTGCCAGAGGAGCGGCTGCAGGATTGGGTGCAGCTGGGTAGTGAACTTGAGCCTGAGCCAGGGCCCCTGGGAAGCACCTCTGGCAGGAAGAACCTCTGCCCTGGACCCCGGCAACCCCACCCTCACCCCAAATGTGAGGAGAGTGGCCTCAGGGAACTTCCAGCCCCTCTCATGGCCTCAGTTTCCTCCTACACGAAACGAGGTCTGGCTGGCTGCTTCCTGCGCCCGGGGCCGTGGACGGCGCAGAAGGACTTCCTGGGCTCTTCGGTTCCGGCGGCAGATCGCGGGCAGAGGCGACGGGCTGGGCCCCTCCCATGCAGGGCCCCCGTGACAGCCCAGATCGGAGAATGTCCCGGGACACTCAGCCTGACTGCTGACAGCCCGAGGAAGGCACAGGGCGCAGTGTTCGGGGGTGGGGGTGGGGAGCGTCTGGAGCGCCCAGGCCACAGCCCTTACCCAACCTTCAGAAGCCCAGGCCGAGCTGGAGCCAGTGCGGGGGCTCCCCTGCCTGGAGGCCTGGCCCGCCCGCCCAGCCCCAAGCCCCGAGGCTCCTTTGGCCTCCCTCCAGTTGCCGTGGGGAATTCTTGCTCTCCACCCTTGTCCTGCTCTGGCCCCTCTGCTGGCCCCGTGCCGACCCGGCGACGAGCAAGGGCCTTCGGAGCGCCCAGACCGGCTTGAACACAGGGAGGACTGTGGAGTCACGGGACTAAAGCGTCCCCCGGGAGATGCGCCGGTTTCTGGCACGACTGGATCCAGGAGCCTCTCTCCCTCTGCGGGACGGCTCTGCTCTCAGGCAACTTGTCCACCAGCGACGCAGGCCGACGCCGACACCCACCCCTTCAGACTCTCCCAGTGGAAAAGGCCACCCTCCGGGTGACTCCGAGGGGTGCCCGGGGCGGCAGCTCCTGCCCGGTGCCCGTCGCTAGGTCGGCCGTGACTGGGCGTGGGGACGGTGCTCCGGCCTCAGGGCTGGGCTTGTCAGGGAGGGGGCACGGGGCCCTTCAGCATCCCCATCGGCTCGGACGCAGGTGGGGGGCAAACGAGGGGAAGGGTCCGGGCTTTCTGTCAAAACCAGCTCGAGGCTGCAGTGTGGGTCACAGCTGGGGGAGCAGGGGGCCCATAACCCAGTGAGGCCAGATTTGTGAAGTGCACGGCAATCCTCGGAAGTGGCCCTTCAGGGGGACAGACACGCGCCCTCGGGGAGTGGGGAGGGGCGGAGGCTCTGCCCCTGGAGCTGGTGTCCCCTCCGTGCTGCGCCTGCAGGGACAGGACGCGGAGGCCGAGGCCTGGGCGGCTGTCGCCCAGCGGACGGGCTCACGCCGCGCCCCGAGCCAGCCTTTTCGGGGTAGTTCTTGCCTGAAGCTCATTCTTCCTCAGAAGGGATCCGCGCTCAGCAGATGGTTTTGTATCCTTTCAGCTGAGGGCCTGACGAGCTGGGAGCCCAGACCCGAGGGGCAGTGCGGCCAGAAAGGGGGCCCGCCCCGGGCCTGCCCTCCTCCTACGCACCCCGGGGCAGTCTGAAGGGCGGCTGCTGCCTGCCCTCCGCCCCACCAGGGGCTCCCGTTCCAGGGCAGCTGGAGCAGCCGCGTTTCCGTCCTAATGGACGGTTACCTGCGCCGCTACCTGGGACAGCACCCCTGGTGTGGCGCACTGTAAGTGGGAGGTTTTTTTAG